TGTTTGATAAACGGTGCAATAATCGGGAAGCTTGAATGATCTTTCATCTAGTGTAGTGTTGTTGTTGTCTGTGGTGATAATATAACCAGCCCCGCTACCTGAGTCTGTGCGTGACCCGTCTGTGTAGCAGGTGATGGTTTCACTGGGGATGTTGTCGATGGTGTTTTGGAGTGAGCCTCTATATCCAATGTTGTCAGCTCCAGGAGTGGTGACCGTGAAGCGTCGTTCAAGCATCATGGTTGGTATAGATAGGTCTCTCTCTGCTTTGGGTGGTATGTTGAGATCTACCATGAATTGTTTGTTGATAGTGGTGTGAGTTGTGATGGTACCTTTTCTGGGGGCGATAGTTTCGAGGGTTAGGCTTCCATAGGCTTGAAGCCTAGCTGTGCCCTTTGCTGCTTCACCTCTCAGGAAAAGTATGATATCTGGAGTGTTAGTGAGGTGGTTCAGTGCGATGAAGGGAGTACTAGGCATGGCACCAGACATCATTCTCAATGCCAATGCCTGAACTCGTTTGAACTTCCTCGCGTTGGTGTCTGTTTGGGTTGCTCTAATCCATATACTACAGCAGTATGATAGAATAGGTCTGATGACAGCGGTGTACATCCATTTGCATGTTTTAGGGCTCATACCCCAAGTGGGGCCGACAGCTCTTCTACATTGCATAAGGGATGCCGTAGCTTTTTTGGTGGTATTGGTGATATGTTCATTGAAATTGAGCTTGCTGTCGAGGGTCACTCCTAGGAATTTGGCAGATTTGGATAGACCTATAGTGGTGTTACCCACCACCACAGGTCTTAGTGTCCATTTCTTATTCCAGGTAAACATGACTATTTGTGTTTTGAGTGCGCTTATGGATAGATCTTTGGTTTGGCACCATTTTTCTATTGTGTTGATGGTTTTGCGTGTTCTATTCCAGATGATATCTAAATCATTCCCCTCCGCTAGAGAGAGCAGATCGTCTGCAAAAGCTTGCAGATAACCTGGTATGTCTCTTGCGGTGTAGGCCAGGAGATCATCGACTACCAGGTTCCAGAGGAAAGGGGAAAGGATGCCACCTTGAGGGCATCCTCTCCGGATCCGAAACCTTGTCGACTTATCCTTATGATTTAATGTGATGAATCTGTTAGTTACCATGTTGATAATCCATTGTGCTGTGGCCAGATCCACTTTCGTGGTCTTGATAGCGTCAGAAATAGCCTTGAAAGAGACATTATCAAAAGCTCCCTCTATATCTAGAAAGACGCCTAGGACATATCCCTTCTTAGCTATCCTGCGCTCGATGGTGTGAGTAACTTTATGAAGGGCTGCTTCGGTTGAACATCCTTTCTTAAAGCCAAATTGTCGTTTGTTGATGTCTTTAGCGATATTAAGGTCGTGTTGCATATGCCACAGTATCACCTTCTCCTGTAGTTTTAATATCACTGGAGAAAGGGTGATAGTGCGAAATGACTTTGGTTGGTTGTAGTCAGTTTTTCCAGGCTTTGGGAGAAAGATTCCAAGGGATTCTTTCCACAAAGTTGGAATGTGTTGGGTTTTATGATTTTTTGTCATAATGGTTCTGGTGATGTCTTTGATGTGTGTCCAAGCTTTCTGTATGATGATAGGTTTGAGGGTGTCGGGTCCAGCAGCTTTCAACGGATCGAAGGATTTAAGAGCCTCCTCGATTCTGTCTGGGCTGTAGATGGTATTGAGTAAGGTGGTGGTGATTGGTAGAGGACCAGGTGGAGGCACTGGCGGATCAGTGACACTATCCTTGAAGTGGGTTCGTGTCATGACCTCCAATGTCTCCTCTGCATTTTTGGTGATGTCTCCGTTTGGTTTGTAAACGGCTTCTAGTGTATGTTTGTTGTCATTACAGGATTTCAGAATCTTATTCATCCTTCCGGATTCCTTAACAGACTCTGTTTCCTGACAAAAAGTTCTCCAGGCATTACGCTGGGAGTTGGTTATAAGTCTGTTGTATTGTTTGTTGCTCTCTCTAAGAGCGAGCCACAGGGCATCAGTCTTCTTTTTGCGGGCAGTAATCAGTTTTTGTCTTATTCCCCTCTGTGCTTCCTCTACTTCTTGAGTTAGCCAGGGGGGTTTGCGGACGGAACTTGAGATGTAAGTAATGGGGCATGCCTCCTCGAAGGCTTCCTTTAGTGCAGTATTGATTATGTCTATTTTGTGATCAATTTCAGTCGTAGTGTTGATTTGTGTGTTGTTAAGGTTGGGGTTATTCGATAGGATCTCATCAAATCTGTCCCAGTCAGTGTTTTTGACTAGTCGGATCTGTTTGGGTTCCTTCTTTGGCCCTGTAGTTATATCGAACATAATATAGCGATGGTCAGAGTTGGAGTAAAGGTCACTAACATGCCAGTTACTAATGAGATCTCCTCCCAACTGGTTTGTTATTGTGAGATCGATAATTGAGTTGTGGCCTCGAGAGTTGAGGAAGGTTGGGGATGATCCTTTGTTGGCACATGACAGCCCTAGGGAGGAGAGAAAGTCAAGAAGCTCCTCTCCCCTTTTATTGCATGCCTTGTTCCCCCAAAGGGTGTGGTGGGAATTGGTGTCCGACCCTATAATGAGCGGGATGTTGTTATCATTTGCGTATTTTGCTAGAGGTGATGTTTCTTGTGGCGGTACCGGCCCATTTATATCCATGTACGAAGCTGCCAGAATGAGTTCTGTCGAGCTGAGTTGGATTTTAATGGCCACTTGATCGGGTGTTGTGAATTGTGTAAGTTCCCAACATTTTACTGTCAGGTTTTTGTGCAGTACAATAGCGGCACGGGGTCTTTTATCCCCGACCTTGTAGTAATATTGGGTGAGATCCTTATTGATGGGTGGTATTAGGATTTTGTTATTAGAGTACGGTTCTGTTGCAAGAATGATTGGATTTCTCCGGCCGTGAGTGTTGATAAGGAGGGTTTTCCATGCATTGAACTTGCGTTTGAGATTAATTTGGGTGACAGAGTAAGTTTCAGACTGCTTATTGCGTGCTGCAATAGTAGTTTTTAACTTTTTTTGGCGTCTTTTCTTTTTTGTGCTAGTTTGAGCGTCATTGAGCGGAGTGGAAGCCGTCCCTCCCCCTAGACAGGTATTATGACCTATCATTGCCGGTGGGGCGCTGAGGAGTTGGACAGGGTCGGGTAGCAGCAGCTGGCCCTCCAGAAGGTACGCATGGTCCCTTCCAGACAAACAGCCCCCGCCAGACCTTCCCTGAACATGGCTCCCACAGTCCGCTCAATAGACGTTTGTGTGTGATATTGTGTTTGTTGTTATCTTTTGTTTGTGACCATATGTTCTCACGTGGGTGCGCGCACCCGCGCGAAGATATGATTTTTTTAGCTTTTAACACAATAATGTCGTATGTCGGTTGGACCATTGAGACTTGCCGAGAGTCAAAAGTGGTCGGTTGAAAGTAGGTTGTTGGTCTGATCGCAATGCCAACTGTCGATTCAAATTCCCCATCCGGCCCGACTGCAAACAACTTTACTTGCTTAAGCTGGTCGTTATGGATAGTGACCGTCCCTCCAGTTGGCACCACTGTTGGTAGTAAAGGTTGGTTTTTGGTGTTGTTACAGTATATTACTTTATAGGGTTCGTGGACGGTGCACAAAGTGCATGAGTCAGACCCAAGAGTCCGTGCACATACATTCGTGTTTGCCGAAGCACACTCTATCCACGATCTATAAAGCAAATGGTTGATCAGTGAGGGTGTATCGTGAGTTTTAACACTTTCTGCGAATCGTAGAAAGATGCTGGGAAATACTACGACGACAGTGTTGAAATGCCGCCCAATAAAACAGGGAAAATGGGTGCTAATGATCGGCATTAAGGGCCCGACCTGAAGCGCACACCCTAAACTTCAAAAACCCTATAGCTCAATGTGAATGAAAGCTGTGAGTGCTCAGGGAGGAAGGATCAGGTGAGTTAAATAGCCAAAAGAAGTGCACGTGCGACTTATGTCCAGTGATGCCCGGCTGGACAGTACGGCTTAGTTTCGGCAGGTCGAGTGAAGCCGAGTAAGCCCCCTTACCACGTCAAGGTCACTTAACCGACTCCAGGCTGCAGTTCCAATCAATCCAAGAATGAAAGACACGAACAAGAAGTGGGTTGAAAGGAATTACAGTCAGATAAATCAGAGTAAGTGGGCGGAGTCTTCACGAATGCTCTGGTGCTCAGGACTGACTCCGCCGCCGTACTTATAATCCCAGCAATTCTAAAGCGTTCAGGAGGCCCCAGACGAGAGGCGGGAGCCCAAACCCCCCGTGCTAGCCCCGAGAAACGGGTCCAAGGCCCGAGAGTTTGACAAGAGCCAGGATCGCAATGCTAACTGTCGATTCAAAGTTCCCATCCGTCCCGACTGCAAACAACTTTACTTGCTTAAGCTGGTCGGTATGAATAGTAACCGTCCCTCCAGCCAGCACCACTCACCCATCCCCGCCGCACCCCGTGTCAACCCCCAGATCTCAGACCATACCACGAGGAGCACGAACCCACACCAATCCCGCCCAGGACCCACCCAGCCGCTCGATTTACCGGGAAGCTGCCTGGCTAATGCTCTGGACCAGAACAAAAGGGGGACTGACCCCACTGTGCGTTACGCCACTGCCATCGCTGTGTTTTATATTTCAAATATAAAACTTTGTTGCTTTGTAATTGTTGTTGCTTTGTAATTGTGACGCAAAATAACAAATTAACAATATATTTTCTTTGTAAAAATGAATGTTTTGTTGTGAAAAAATAAATTGTAAAGATCTCTCTTATTTCTAATTTCTAGTTAGAACTTGTGATGTAGCCACGACTGAGAGCCGCATATTCTAGATTTAAGTGTATACTTGATTTTTATTTGTTTCTTGATATTTTCACACACATTTTTTCCGCACACATGAACACAATATCAGTTTTTGAGATGAACAGTAATATATACTGAATAATTAAAACTAGAACTTAACAGCATATCACGTGACCATGGTAACCAATTAAAACTGACCAAACTACCTCTTGATAGTGTGATAAGAGAAAAGCCGTAGATCCTGCAACCACTCCTCCCTCCTGCTACCTTCCACCACACTCCTTCTACCCCACAACCTAGTAACCAGCCAGTAACCAGCTAGTAACCAAGTAACCAGATAGTGACCTAGTAACCACCCCACTATAATGTATACCAGTACAGAGCCGTTTACAACCCCTATTATCTGCGCCAAGATACACTGCATGGCGTGGCTGCCTGACCCTGATGGCGGCGGTCTGCTGGCTACTGGTAGGTTGCATTTAGGATATTGTTTTTTAAAGAATATTTTTTCCGTTCACCCTTTTGTAAAAAGGCAATAGTGAAAGGTTACGAATGGACGTTTTTGCAGAAAAACGTGGATTTTGGAGATAGCAGTAGGTGGGTTAAAATATGGTGTCATTCCTTCCGTCCGTTACCATGACAACTAGCGCGCAGTGCAGCGCGCGAGTATTGCTTGCGGAGATTTGATGTATATAGCTAGCCTGTCAATGAATGCGCGGCGCGAGTGAATTTAAATGTATACTATGCTATGTATAGTATTAGGTTATAAGCCCAATTTGTACGTGGTATGCGTAGTATAGTGTACTGATGTGTATCAATATTATTATTATGAAGTGAGCTGATTGGAGCTTATATTTATAATTATAGTGAACGGAAATCTAGCGTCCGCCAAAACGAAACAACGGGCGCAATTCTTGTTATTTTATGTATTAGCATATTGTTGTGTATCTGTTTATTAATCATGTTATATTTAATAGAAATTCATCTTGGTACAGGAATATATCACGCAAATTATTTCAATTTAGTTTCACCGTCTCTCATTTCAAACATGAGGTTATATTTTTTGAATCACCCCCTCAGGAAACACAAGTTCAGCCGTATCAGTAGCTATTGTTAACGAGCAGAAGCAGCTAAACAACTCAAACTCTTACAAAGTCTGTGTTCTGAAACGTAGGTGTTTAATTAATTAATTAATAATTTAATTTCCCCTTCCTAATAACAACTTGTCATACGTTGTATGACCCGCCGCGCACGAAGTGCGCGGCTCCCCCTGTAGCGTCGAAGACGCTACAGACGCTATAGTGAAGCTATAGTGACGCTATAGTGAAGCGACCGTGGGGGTCACCACGTGATACAAATAACAACCAGTTCATGAAACATACCGTTATAATAATTTCTCTTAACTTTAAAATTTTAAAACTGAGTGCTTATCAATCGTTTCCTCTTCCCTTTCTCCCCTGCCTCTTCTCTTTCTCCTCTCTTTCACATGATGTTTTTACCAAAATCTAATTCTCTTTCAGCGGTGTTAAGCGCTATCCAGCACCCTCTCCGACCCCAACTAAAGGACGTGACCCACGTGTCATGGAGTAAAAAGTACCAGTTCCTGGCCAGTTGTCATGGTTACAACCACGTGCTCATTTGGGACAGACATGGAAACAGGGTCACAAACAAACCTGTAGTTATTATCAGGTAAGATACCCACAAAAATTACAAATATTTAGGTGGTTCCATTTGCTGAATGCCAGAAATATGCAAAAAAAACACACCTTAAAACTGTTCCAACGACGATGAATTGATGATCTTTAAGTAATATTTTCACGTTTGACTTCAAATATAACAAGACCCTTGGTAACCTAAATTACTAGCTGGTTACTAGGTTATTAGCTGGTTACTAGGTTACTAGCTGGTTACTAGGTTACTTGCTGGTTACTAAGTTACTAGCTGGTTACTAGGTAACTAGCTGGTTACTACAAGACCCCCTTCTCAGAGACGAGTCGCAGGATACTAGTAGAATAGTGCCAGCCTGTACAGTGAGATGGGCTCACACCAAACCAACACTGTTAATTACCTACGAGGACGGCATTATGAAACTTGTCAAAGTGACTAGTGAGACTAATAGCTCGCATATCAGTGTGGATAATATCTCCTTCTCCGTAAGTAAAACACAAGGAAACATTCTTATTTTTCTCATATCAGCGTGGATAATATCTCCTTCTCCGTAAGTAAAACACAAGGAAACATTCTTATTTTTCTCATATCAGCCTGGATAATATTTCTTTCTCCGAAAGTGAAGCACAAGGAAATATTATTATTTTATCATATCAGCGTGGACAATATTTCTTTCTCCGAAAGTAAAACACAAGGAAATATTATTATTTTATCATATCAGCGTGGACAATATTTCTTTCCCCATAAATAAAACAAAAGGAAATGTTTGATAGCTGATAACTTATCAGTCAGTACAAATTATATCACCCAATTAAGTACTAATTACAAAAAGTCAATATGCTAATTACCCAATTAACTAATTACTGCTAACATATCTAACAAGTATTCAGGATTATTATTTAATTAATTAATTAACTATTCAGGACGCGTATTACAATAACGCTCTTTACAACGGAGCTGAGATAGAACCGGAGGTGGGAGTTAAACTGAAGAGCTCCTGTTGGTCCCACCACGACGAGGTAAAACACAAGGAAATATTTTTACAAGGGAACACCATGACGAGGTAAAACACAAGGAAATATTTGTACAAAAGAACATCATGACGAGGTAAAACACAGGGAAATATTTTTACAAGGGAACATCATGACGAGGTAAAACACAAGGAAATATCTTTACAAGGGAACATTTCACTCCGAAAATAGAATAAGTAAAGTCTTAACAAGGCCCTGTGGATACCTGATAACAGAAACACAATTCAAGAAAATATTTTAATATCAGTTACATCTACAGGTAGTGTACAGTGCTGCGGAGAATACTAATGAAATTGTTGTTACTAGTGTAGCTGAGAGAAGGATCATCGCCAAAATACCTATAGATACCAGGGTCGAGGTAAGTTTTAACTCTCAGTTTAGTCAGTACCCATGGGAACTACCCATGGTTACCCATGGTTTCTCGGTAGTTGCCAATTGCCATGGTTACACTCTTGACTCTCCAGTGGACAGCATTAATTCTTATTTCTGAGCATTATTTTATTGAAAATGTGTCGCTATCACAATTGTTTTAGTAAATAAATAAATTCCACGTCATTAATTACAAAATTTTGAATTTTCTCAATATCTAATTACCTAATAACATTTGAATTTTCTAAATATCTAATTACCTAATTACCTAATTACCTAATTACCACCAATTACCTAATACTCTAATAGTAATAACCACATGCACAGGAGCTACACTCATGGTACTGCACTGAAAGAGGACAGTTGCTAATAGTCCACCACCCCTCTGCTGCTATTACTATAATGAACCTGGACTCGGAGTACCACAAGATTGAGGAGCAACATGTGTTAACTCCGTTCTCTATCGGCTCTACCAAGGTCACTATTTATTTATTATACATTTTTTTAATTGGAACTTGTTTACTTTAAGATTTACATTTCAGAATTTAGACTAGTTCAGTTGTTCTTGCTACAATTAAACACGAATCGTTCAATGCAATAGTCATATCATATAATCACCAAACTGCCTTCACAATTAGTATAATTAATCGATTACTGTTAATTAACTAATTGGTAACTGTTAATTAGCTAATTGATATCCAGATGGCGGTGCGAGTAACGGACGGTATGATAGCTATAGGGGGTAGTGTAAACAGTTTGGGTGCCAACATGGTCTGTATTTACCACAATAGAGGGAGTCTCATGAAGAGGGTCGTCACTCCCTGCGATAAGGTAATTAGCACTAAATTACTATAAATTATTAGTTGATTGTTGGCTAATTTTTAACTTTTTTGTAATGAAGTTAAATTATTTATTTTCCTTTATTGACAATGATTTTGTCATTCAAGGACACGCGTAACAGCAATTAGCAAAATAAAATTTCTAGGTTCACAGAAACTGTTACCAATTAATAAATAAGAAATTTTACCAACCAATTAATCAAGCAATTAATTAAACAATTAGCAACTAATTAACTAAGCAATTAATAAAGCTATTATCGACTTATTAACCAAGCAATTAGCAACTAATTAACTAAGCAACCTTTCAGCCTATCTCAGCTATTTGCTGGGTGGGTAGATCCTCGCTGTCGGTAGCAACAAAGAACCACGTCCACAATATAACAGTCAGCAAGTCAATACCTTCCCTGGAGTTCCTCGCCAGTCAGGTACAGTCACGTGTTATTAGCACGTGTTATTGCAGTTTATAGCACGTGTTATTGCAGTTAGTAGCACGTGTTATTGCAGTTAGTAGCACGTGTTATTACAGTTTGTAGCACGTGTTATTGCAGTTAGTAGCACGTATTCTTTTTTAAAATACCAGCCAAGGACAAATATTGAAACTGCTTATAAATGAAGGTTTTGACAAATAGTACTGGAATAACCATTGTGATAACGTTTCGCAAAATTATAATATTTTATCAGGCAGTAACGAACCTTCAAAAGAAAGCAGCTTCTCCAAAACTACCTGTTAATATCAGAATGAACTTTGAAAATACTAAGCGTACCTTACCGGTAAGTTTGTAGCTTAATTTAGGTTCGATTATTCGTGTTATTATTATTTGCAGAAACATTAGATTAGCATGACGGTCTCATTTTATGTTTATTGTAACAGCTACCACTTTACTAATAATAACAATGACAACAGTAACCAATGACCATGACAACAGTAACCACTAACCATGACACCCTCAGAAAAACACGCCGCGCGTATTCTCTGACACGGACAGCGCAAGTCAGTGTACTCTACGAGTGGTGCGGGGCGTTAGTTCACTACAGGAGGCCCAGTTCATGGTTGCAGAGGTAATTGTTCAATCTTAGTAACTGCGTGTTTTATTATCTAAACTTAGTTCCTTGTATGGGTGGGTTTGAATGAATCTTTTATTATTAATCACCCAATCACCCAATCTTTAAACTATCATCGATCAAATGAACTAATTAACTAATTAACTAATTAATTAACTAATTAACTAATTAACTAATTAACTGATTAACTAATTAACATCTCAGGTAGGAGGAGAAGCTGTAGCCCTAAGAGCAATCAAACAAACAGCCCTCATGTCCCTAGGGGTACACTACGAGATAATGTTACGAAACGACTGTATGAGAACGGATGAAAATCAGCTGAACCTTATTAACCGACACAGCAACTCACCCCCTAGAGTGCTGAACTGTTCGTACAGTGATAACTTTACGCTGGCTCTCAGGATGTCTCATAAACCACTCAGCAGAGGCACTACCCTGGTTAGTTGTGGGCTTTTTTGCTTGTTTGTTGTGTTACCATGGTTAATTTTAATTTCCAATCAATTATTGATCAATTATTGATCAATTACCAATCAATTACCAATCAATTACCAATCAATTACCTAATTAACGCATGATCTGACTCTTAACCAGTTTACACAGGTCAGTTCCCTGGGAAACAAGTCCACGTTATTCTACGGTCTGCACTACTCTGAGAAAAGGAGCCTACTCACTGTCCATCTATACAACAGCTCTGCAGGTAAATTTGTTTAACTAATTAACTAATTAACTAATCAACTAATTAACTAATTAAATAATTGAAGAAGAGGAGCCTACTCACTGTCCACCTATTATACCTGCAGGTGAATTCTTCAGATTTCCAAACACAAGGATGTATCTTATATTGATAGATTGGATCATAAAAAACAACAATACCGTATATAACTAATTAAATATTTAACTTACAAGCCCACTTTAACAGGAACCGCGACCCCTGGTTCTCCGACAGAGAACGACACTGCCCCGTACGTGGAGGCTACAGGACTGATACACCGACCTGCGGCGGGGAATGATGATCCCAACCACACTCGCAGTGTAGTGCTCCTACATCAGGAGATAGAGGTATTTTTAAACACAAGGAAATGTTTTATATCATAGCATATGAATTGACTCCCTGAGGAAAATTAAAAGCAAGGATATGTTAATATTAATTTATATATTTTAGGAAAACGAGATATTTTCAAACACAAGGACCAGCAAGTAACCTAGTTACCAGCTAGTAACCTAGTTACCAGCTAGTAACCTAGTTACCAACTGTTAGTTATGTTGTCTAATAATCACCGCTCCCCAGGTCTTCCAACTACTAAAGTGGCAAAAGGGGAGTTACAGTGTGCGGTACAAGTCTCCATTCTCCATGTGCGCAGCCTTCTGTACCGCAGTCAGCTGCATCTCCAGAAAACTTATATAAACATCACGTGGTGTTACCTTGACAACGTGTGATTACCTTGACAACGTGTGATTACCTTGGCAACGCGTGATTACCTTGGCAACGTGTGATTACCTTGACAACGCGTGATTACATTGACTGCAGTAACCATGATGGGTGTGATATGATCCGCTGTTACTATTTTACAAAGATTTCAGATTATCGGTTGATATTGATAAATAAATTTGTATTTTATTAGGCGGTTTGATTTTATTTTATGTAATTGTATGGGATGTAATTTTACAAGATTAACGAAGTAACTTTTTACTTCGCTGATTATTTCGACTTGAAAATGACTACTAAACTACGACGATAAGGATTTGGTAACATTGAAAATGCTTAGGTCGATTTGAGGGCGGACCCTAAACGAAAGATTTTTGTCATAAATTCATAAATCAATATAAAATAATTCAAAATATTGCTTTCTCATAAAATTTTCAATCGACCTAGCTGCAAGAATTTGACAAAAATGAACAAATGTTGCCTTGAGTAACAATAACGAGGTGCAGCTTGATTGTCTAGCAAATCAACTGGATTGCCTAGCAACTCAACTTGGTTTGCCTAGCAACTCAGCCGCACGTGAAATTTTCCTGACAACTATTGGTCAGGAAATGTCACATGTCTGAACACTGAGCACGTGTGGCCAGTGTTCACCCCAATACCACAGATTTTGACAGATTTTTAAATATGCGACCACCTTCCCAATGATGTGTTGTGTAGGTCTATTCTTATCAGCCGTTACCATGGTTAACTAGAATACTAACTGGTTATTAGTTTAATAACTGGTTATTAGCCATGTTACCAGTAAAAAGTATTGTGGATTTCATTGACTCCAGGGAAGGCAGTCGCGTACAAATTTTGACGAGTTTTTGAAACAATATTTATTTCAGCGTCTGCTTTTGATATTCAAAAGCCACTTTTAATTGTTGCTTTGTGATATTGATTATATGCATTTATTTTTACTCGTGTGTTTACCGGGGGGTTAGGGGTCGTTCACATATTACGTGATCACTTTTGGAACATCTTTACCCAACCCCCCCCCCCCCCCCCCCCCCGTAATCAGTTTTACACATAGCTATTGTGTCAAAATTACACTGTCAAAATTACACTCCCCCCCCCCCCCCCCCCCCCCCCCCCGTAATCAGTTTTACACATAGCTATTGTGTCAAAATTACACTGTCAAAATTACACTCCCCCCCCCCCCCCCCCTCGGCTGATTACGTAATATGTGAACGACCCTTACTTAACATATTATTCTCTAATTATTACTATAAATACTATTAATTATTATTATTACTTTATAAGTTTATACATACTATATAACCCGTTTAAAGATCAGCTTATATTAGATTTGTGACCGAAGGCGACTTGCTAGGTTACTAGCTAGTTACTAGGTTACCAGTTACCAAGCGACTTGCTAGGTTACAAGCGACTTGCTAGGTTACTAGCTAGTTACTAGGTAACTAAAGACCTGCTAACGATTTCTAAAGAATCACGGAAAGATCAAGATTACGTATTGACGGCAGGCCTGATTTAAGGAAATTCTCAAGTTTATAATTTTATGACCGATCTACTGAGTCTGAATAACTAATATATTCGATTTCAACGCCGTTATTGTGAAAGTCTTGCGAGTGTACCATCAATTTAAAATTTATAATCTGTGACTGTTCTGATTTAAAATGTGTTTTATTGTCTTCAAAAACACGACGGTAATAACGAGACGCAACTGTCAAATTAATTTGATAATTTTAATATGCAAAATACAACAAAAAATTAGATATTAATTCGACATGATAATAAATATAATAAGCAGCCCGTCAATTTTCTGCAAATTTGAGAGTCGGTAAAGGCCTATACTAGGAAATAGGCAGAATCAGAAAATATGAGCTAATAGTTATAACCGTAGACTCTCCGACAAAATTATGAGATCATTACTGTAGTAATGTAGTAACGGTCAACTAAACTGATAAAGAAGAACTAAGCACACGGACCATATCAGGAAACACTCTGTCCGGACTCCGGAGAGTTTATTCGTCAGCGTATTGCCCAATCACACCACATAGAGCTCCCTATTATATATTAGTGGAGAGAGACCACGTGACTGAAGACGCGACCTCGTCAAACCATTACAAAACGTACGAAGAGTTCCCGCTTTTTATTACTATTTCTTAACCATCATATCTATCAGTTTCCGCTTATCTTTCAAAATTTATCATTTGTTTATTTTATATTTATTGTTCTTAAATGAGAAGTATGGACCCTTAAAGTATATATTAAATACGTAAATTGAAAAGTACGACTAGTACCACGTATATTTTTGTGCAAAAATTAGGATTTTACTTTTTTTTGTGATATGAAACTTCAAGATTTTAGCCAATGAAAAGTGGGGCTAAAATCTACGGGAATATTCTCAGATCCTTGATTTAAAGTTGAAACAAGCAAAATGGGTTTGATGCGATGATCATCTTTTAAGTATTCGAAACGGAAATACAATTAAAACATTTAATAGTGGGAAAGAATTTTAATTACTAATACTTGTCCAATTAATAAATCCAATTACGTTTAACGATATTAATTGTAGATGAAATTACTCGATCATAGATACAAAAACAAATAAAATAACTATACTGTATCAAATTTATTTGTTTTACAAAACAATGGAACAAATAAATATAACTTTATTGAATAAAGTAAACAAAATGTTCAATTGAAAAATGGAAAACACTTAACATGGGCTATCGCATCAAATCAAAGTGACCAATTTTTTTGGAATTTGTTGCGGTGACTGCAGACTGTAATCCGTGCAGTTCTATCAGTGGAGTAAGGGACGTTTCACCGTGCAGCTCTATCGCTGAAGCAAGGGACATTTTAGTTTTACCTTGCAGTTCTATCGCTGGACTAAGGAAGGTTTCACCGTGTAGTTCTATCGCTGGAGCAAGGGACGTTTTAGTTTTACCTTTCAGTTCTATCGCTGGATTAGGGACGTTTTACCTTGTAGTTCTATCGCTGGAGTAAGGGATGTTTTACCTTGTAGTTCTATCGCTAGAGTAAGGGATATTTCACCTCGAAGTTCTATCGCTGGAGTAAGGGAAGTATCAGCTTGTAGTTCTATCGCTGGAGTAAGGGACATTTCACCTTGAAGTTCTATCGCTGGAGTAAGGGAAATGTCAGCTTGTAGTTCTATCGCTGGAGTAAGGGACTTTTCACCTTGCAGTTCTATCGCTGGGGTAAGGGAAGTGTCAGCTTGTAGTTCTATCGCTGGAGTAAGGGAAGTGTCAGCTTGTAGTTCTATCACTAGAGTAAGGGACATTTCACCTTGAAGTTCTATCGCTGGAGTAAGGTAAGAGTCAGCTAGGCTTGTAGTTCTATCGCTGGAGTAAGGGACATTTCACCTTGCAGATCTATTTGTGAGGGACTTCTTGGAATGGATCGTGTTGTTGGATTGAATATCAGTCTCCGATTGGTTCTTTGTCTTTGTTGTATTGGTGATCTGAGAAAGGAGAAAAACTGGAGTGTATTCATTCTCAAAAACGCTCTAAAACTTCGTACTGTTAGCGAATAGACAAAGAAGTTAGACATGATACTGAAGTACTGCAAGTAAACTATGGGGCGTACGGTTGTGTTTCTGAAGTTCATATTCAAAATTTGCATCGCAGCAGTTATCCCAAAACTTGGGAGATACGATATTGTCACTACTACAACAGTGAGCAACACCGTGGTGACACCCTCCCACCGCAATGTGTCTCCAAAGCGAGCAGCTACTCTTTTTGCCTCCACAAGCAGAAGTATTGATGAGAAGACGATAATGATTGCGCAAATTATACAAAGGGAACCTACACCGGCAAACAAATACCACCAGTACCACACCAAATTTATTGTGTTGTAATCATAGTTACACTGATAGTCATGGTAACTAAAGTGGATAGTATGTCTTAAATAAAGTATGTTATACAATAGTATCGGGCCATAGACTCCCACAGCCAGAAGCCATACTAGAACAGCACAAATTTTGTAACCTAATCTGGTGGACCAGGCACCTGTTTTCAAAGGGTACTTCACGGTAAGAAGCTTCAGTGAAGTTAAATTGCATATTAGGAACACGTTCAATGCAAAACTTATCCATCTGAAGTTCGCCTCTATGTGGCAGAGAAATGCACATATTACCAAACGATCTGTTATCAATACCAAAGTGCGGGGTAACACGATGAATACACTTTGTAGGAGATCACAAACAGCCATGTTCTGCATTACGGCTACTATGACTTTGTGATGTTTGATGGCGTTATATTTTATAGTCGCTATGAGAATGACACTGTCTCCTATCAAAGACGTTAGAAGAACGGTTAAACTCCAGGATATCAGTATTAATCGTTCAGCATAAATTCAGTGGCGTAACGTTGCCTGTTGGCGCCCCCTGCCGAAAAGGCGCCCCCCTGTTGGCGCCCCTTCCCCTTTTGGTGCCCCTCCCTAAAATTGAACAAATTAGGTGATTTTAGAGGATACGCCGGTAAAATCTCTAAAAAAGTATGTATCTAGAGCAAAACGCGCAGTTTTGCTAGTACTTTAAGTTTTCGAAATTGTCCCACATTCAAACGACGATTTGGCGCCCCCCTAAGACGGCGCCCCCCTGCACAGCGGGGTCAGCAGGGCCCTTCGTTACGCCACTGAGCATAATCTTTAATTCCATACTTTGATCTGAGCCTAAGGGACTCCAAAACAAAAAAGCTGTCAACTCTTGTCTTTTGCACCATCTCTCTGAGAAAGGAGATATTTAAAAAACCAATAATTAAAGTTTGTGAAGGTTGGAGTTAACGTTATTAATTATATCTCGGGGCAGTCACATCAACTTGAGGATGAAAAAAGAACCAACTTGCATGATGTAAACTGTAAAGATGTGCTTACCGGCCATAAGTTGTATTAAATTTGCATATGGGTATCTCACGTTGTTTCCATTCTGGATCTATACTCTCACAAGTCTTGCTGAGGCACTCCTCTAAAAGAATAGTCCGATTATCAAATTCTTACTAGAATGTACTACGGTGTACGGTTACTCCCTACCTCCCTACCTCCCTACCTCCCTACCTCCCTACCTCCCTACCTCCCTACCTCCCTACCTCCCTACCTCCCTACCTCCCTACCTCCCTACCTCCCTACCTCCCTACCTCCCTACCTCCCTACCTCCCTACCTCCCTACCTCCCTACCTCCCTACCTCCCTACCTCCCTACCTCCCTACCTCCCTACCTCCCTACCTCCCTACCTCCCTACCTCCCTACCTCCCTACCTCCCTACCTCCCTACCTCCCTACCTCCCTACCTCCCTACCTCCCTACCTCCCTACCTCCCTACCTCCCTACCTCCCTACCTCCCTACCTCCCTACCTCCCTACCTCCCTACCTCCCTACCTCCCTACCTCCCTACCTCCCTACCTCCCTACCTCCCTACCTCCCTACCTCCCTACCTCCCTA